AAAAAAAAAAAAAAAAAAAAAAAAAAAAAAAAAAAAAAAAAAAAAAAAAAAAAAAAAAAAAAAAAAAAAAAAAAAAAAAAAAAAAAAAAGAAATTACATTTCAGCACATCTGATATTGCTTCACTTCGGTAATACAGTCAATATGCAAGGACCAAACCCACTCCAGGCCACACTTCGTGTTGGGTTCTAGGCATAGGGAACACAATAGGATTTGGTTCATGCTTTTATGTTTCTTATAGTGAATTTATGTAAAGATATTTACACTTGACTCAACAAAGAGTAGAGTCTAAATTCTTGATGTTTATACCTTAAGGGGGTGATGTTTGGTCCATTGGGAAGGAGTCTGGAGGTGCTGTACTCTATGGTTCCAATAGAGTCCACATTTCTGTCTCTCCTGCTAACCAGCCCAGCTTCCAATAAAGAGAAGGCTGGGTGATGGCAGAACTGAGTGGGAGAGGGCCTAGGCTGTGATGAGTTGAAAAAATATCTCCCCAGATACTAGATCCCTTAGTGTTTTGCATGAAGTACATTTCTATGGTTATGTGTAAATATGGCAGTGAATGTCTCAAACTGTATGCCTCTAGGGGGAGAACACAAGACGTTCCATTTCGGTGGAAGGCACATAATGCAAAACTTTAAAGAGATGTGAGGCAGAAATGATGAGGCTCGTTAACTTTCCTTTATTTATTCATTCATTTATTTTCATGTTGCATTTTCTGCTCTGTCTGGTAGAAAACTAATAATTGAAAGTTCTTGAGATATGCTAGAGGCACTCATGTACCCAGTAGTATTCCATTAGAGAGAAGAAGGGGTCTGTACTGAACCAAGCAATTTCTTTCTTTTTGTTTTTTGAGATGGAGCTTCGCTCTTGTTGCCCAGGCTGGAGTGCAGTGGTGCAATCTCAGCTCACTGCAACCTTCCCCTCCCAGGTTCAAGTGATTCTCCTGCCTCAGCCTCCCAAGTAGCTAGGATTACAGGTGACTGCCACAATGCCTGACCAGTTTTTTGTATTTTTAGTACAGACAAGGTTTCACCATGTTGGCCAAGCTGGTCTCAAACTCCTGGCCTTAGGTGATCCACCCGCCTTGGCCTTCCAAAGTGCTGGGACTACAGGCGCGAGCCACCACGCCCAGCCAGCATCCCAATTTTTCTTTGCAGAACTGCCCTTTCATGTATTGGACTCTGGGTCACAGTGTCCTTTGTTTCTCATGACTGTAGGCAGGCACACCTCATGAATGGGAGGATTGGGAGCTGTGAGTATTTGGGTAAGAGTGAGGGAATCCAGGCTTTTAATGTTCAGTGATTTTGGTTCAAATTGGGCAAATCTTAATTCAATTCTCTTATTAGTGCAAAGATTTGCCTTGCTAAGGAAATAAATCATTACTTTCCTTTTGGGCATTATAAATGAAATGTATTTAAAAGGTCCACCTAGTATAAATAAATGATCAATTCTGTTAAATATCATGACTCCATAGCTCCATAAAATTAATAACATAAATTCTATGTAGCACCAAATGTAGGGAGCATCAATATAGATATAACCAGGACATTAGTTTTGAAACAATGTTAAACTTGCATTTTTACCTTTCCAATACCCTCTGAATATTTTTGCATATTTGAATTCTATTGTGTAGTTTTAATCCTGCCTTGCATGTTAGCATAATCAATATACAGAGATTCAGTTCTCTGCTGCATCAGACAATGCACTGTTAGAGGGAGCCAAATAAGATATAATTCGTTTTTTCAAGGTTTTCATAAAGAAGTTTCATAAAAGAGTTTAAACCTGATTTAACAGTCAATGGGTAGAGTCTAAGTGTCTGGTGTTGGCAAGACTACATTCCCCAGTGTGGAGAAAGGTTAGAGCCAGAGATCTGAGTAAGAGGAATCTGAAGGTGATGATTCCAAGTTTCCAACTCCGTATCACCAGCTTCATTGTTCCAATTAAGACAAGGCTGGGTGATGGCAGGGTTGAGTGGCAGAGACCCTAGGCTATGATGGTGGGATAAATATGTTCCCAGGTGCTGGATATCTTGTGTTTTGCCCCTGTGCGTTGAGAAGGAGGGCTTCCTAATGATACTATTATTTAAATATTGTGTTCCCGAAGTGCCTATGTGATCATGTATGAGTGTGGGAGTGAATATTTTGAACTGCATGCCCCCAGGGAGAGATGATATGTTCCATTCCAGAGTGTGGGCTTTAAGACATTGAGTGAAAATGTTATGGGGTGGAAAACAGTGAGGATCATTAACTTCCTGTTTGTCTGGTAGAGGCCTATGAAGGAAAGATGCTTGAGTACCCAGTGAACCCATAAGCAGTTCATTAAAAATAGAAGGAATCTACATTGTACCTGGTATAAGATGGGCTTAAAGGCACAAGTAAGTTTTATGAGCAGGTAGATTATACTCCCAGCCCATGAAATATACTGTTTTTGTTGTCACAGAATTTGAAATATGGCTTCTTTAAGAATTCCTGAAGACCAGATGTCTAACGTTGGAAAAATTGTTGCCTGGTTTGCGCAAGTTCTCCAGTGATATGAGTGTTAGGACCAATTGTAAATGAGCTGCTTTAACTCATTTCCCTGAAAAACAGTGGGCAATGAAAATTTTCCCAGTAGGCAGAACTTGAGGAAAATGCATTCTTGTCTATTTTACCTGCAAGCAAAGATAGCCTAATTTATGGAGTTGGGAGTGGTTGTGATGACCTTCTTGTATTCCAAGGGTAGTGGAATAAGTAAGACTAGAAAATTGGTGAGAACAAGTTTTAGAGAAGGACAATGTGAATGGAAATTCTATTATGACATATTAATTTGTCAAGGATAATTTATTGGCTGCTGGGTGCAATGGCTCGCGCTTATAATACCAGCACTTTGGGAGGCTGAGGCAGAAGGATGGCTTAAGCCCAAGAGTTGGAGACTGACCTGGGCGACACTGTGAAACCCCATCTCTACAGACACACACACATACACACACACACACACACACACAGAGAATAATTCGTTGAATAAATGTATCTATAATGTGAGATTATTCATGTTTCATGTATCTGTTTATCAGAGGTCCTGAGTGTAGAAGATATCCTTAATAATCAGATGGACAAGATATATACTCTGTAAATTCCATCTATCTTCTTGCTCAGGCACCAATTAACCAAGTAATGGGTTTAATATAGCCATAGTTTTAGACACAGAAGCAATGCATAAATTTAACCAAAGTGACTTTCAATTTTTAAGTGTCCTGCTTGCTATGATACTAATTTAGTCCCATGTTTCAAAAGAACCAAATAGATCATTTGGGACATTTTTCTTCATTATTATGCTGTTATAATTAACTTAGACTCACTTTTTTTTTCTTTTGTTTATTGACCATTTTATTAGGCAATTTAACTAATACGTTTTGACAAAAATATTGTTACATAGAAATTTGGATTTAAATTTAAATAAATTATATGCTGCTAGTAGTAATTCCACCTAGATAATTTAAAAAATGGGCAGAAATTTAAAATAAAACAAATTCAACAAGTTTGCTGGAGTCAATATCAATATATACAGGCTAAAATTACACCTATTCACCAGCACTGGTCCATTAAAACGTGTAATTAAAAAAAAACAAACAAAAACTTTTTACAAATAAGAACTATATGTTGGTTATGACTAAGTCTCATAAAAGTATTTCATGATCTTTTTTCTTTCCTTTTTTTTTAAATTGCATTTTAGGTTTTGGGGTACATGTGAAGAACATGCAAGATTATTGCACAGGTATACACGTGGCAGTGTGATTTGCTGCCTTCCTGCCCCTCACCTATATCTGGCATTTCTCCCCATGCCATCCCACCCAGCTCCCCATCCCCCGCTGTCCCTCCCTTATTTCCCCCCAACAGACCCCAGTGTGTAGTGTTCCCCTCCCTGTGTCCATGTGTTCTCATTGTTCAACACCTGCCTATGAATGAGAACATGCGGTGTTTGATTTTCTGCTCCTGTGTCAGTTTGCTGAGAATTATGGCTTCCAGGTTCATCCATGTCTGTACAAAGGACACGAACTCATCACTTTTGATGGCTGCGTAATATTCCATGGTGTATATGTGCCACATTTTCCCTGTCCAGTCTATCAGGGAGTGTAAATTAGTTCAACCATTGTGGAAGGCAGTGTGGCGATTCCTCAAGGACCTAGAAATAGAAATTCCATTTGACCCTGCAATCCCATTACTGGGTATATATCCAAAGGATTATAAATCATTCTACTATAAGGACACATGCACATGAATGTTCATTGCAGCACAGTTTACAATAGGAAAGACCTGGAACCAACCCAAATGCCCATAGACTCACTTTTTTATTGTGGTATAATATGCATTGCATAAAGTTTACCTTATTTATTTATTGTTTTTTGAGATGGAGTTTCACTCTTCCTGCCCAAGCTGGAGTGCAATGGCATGATCTCAGCTCTCTGTAACCTCTGCCTCCTGGGTTCAAGCAATTCTCCTGCCTCAGCCTGCTGAGTAGCTGGGATTACAGACGTGTGCCACCATGCCCAGCTAATTTTTTTGTATTTTTAGTAGAAATGGGGTTTCACTAGTCAGTGCCATGCTGTTTAATTACTATCATTTTGTCATGTAGTTTGAAATTGGTAGTATGATGCCTCTACCTTTGTTTTTTTGTTATTTTTCCTAATGATTGCCTTGGCTATATATATATATATTTTTTTTTTTTCCTGTGGTTCCACGTGAATTTTAGGATTGTTTTT